CCGCATAAATAATTTGATTTTTATAAGCATCAAATGCAGTTGGAAAGCAACATTTCGATGGATAAACACAGCGTTTAGTAATCAAAGGAAATTAATAGTTTTATGGGAATATTATATGTAGCGATGAATATAAGTAACGATTTTTAATTACTCGTATTTCTTCATTTAAATGAAACTTAAGTTCAGTCTAAGCCATTTTAAGCCCTGAGCTTCCGTTATTGTTCAAAATTAATAAATAGAAAGTTCTTAGACTTTGGAGGCATTTTACTCATAGACCGCTACAATTTCGCACTCGCAAACGTGTGAGCGGGCCGCTGCTTGTGGTAACTTGCCCTACGTTTTATTGATCATCAAAACTAAGTAAGAAAACAATATATTGGATGCATTACGCAGGAGCTGAGCACTGCACAAGAAACATGCGGCCTTCAATTTAATGCAAAAACAGTGGACTAATTTTTGATTGACCAATATTATGACTTGGATAATTATTATTCAAAGGAAAATAAAAAATATTCATGGTCATCTAATAAGAGTGGAATGGAAAATTCTTTTAGCTATTGAGGGTAATCGAAAAGAAGAAGAAATAGAATTTTTCAATATTCACATTCAAAGCGACTTTCAATATTATGCGGAAACTCGAAATCAACAACAAAATGTAACTGCACAGCACAGAAAACCCATCGACCCAATGAAGGCAGAATATCCAAATCGGCCACACACTGTGCTAGCTAACTAGTTCACATCCCTACAGGGCAAGTCTGCAAAAAGCCCCAAAATTGAGCGTTTGTTGGTGTTGCTGTTATCAGTGTGACATAGTAAAAGTAGTATTAAAAGTCTTTAGGAAAATAACAATGCCGGAGGAACAATAGAGATGAACGCGTGCAGCTCGCAGATAATACCTTTTTCAAACTTACTGTGTACGTACTGACTACGTATGTATTTGTGTATTTGAAATATGCAAATTTGCTAAAAAGTCAGTTTGGCTACTACTTACCTTCACTTCTAAAACCTAAACCAATCCGTATGCATACATCCATATAAATATATGCATTTGCTATATATGAATATGTAAATATATATTCATACTATGCGGAGTGTGTCGAAGCCGAAGTGTTTCAACAGGTTTTTGAGTTTTTTTTTTCAATTTCTTAGCACCAACTAAACGCGCCAACTAAAGCGAATAAGCACTCGTTCTTTCTTAAACATTTTCGTGCACATTTGTGTATTTCTTTGAAAAACAACAAATAGTTTTAAGCTGGAGGTGAATAAACTATTGCCGAATTCGGTGAATGCCAAGAAGACTCTAACTAGCGATGGACTTGGATGTTCTAAAGTTGAAAACGAAGTAAAGAAATTTATGGTTCTTCGCCGTCTATGTGTTGTGGTGTAAATCTAATGTGACATGCGGAGTGTGGCGACAAATATACACGCCTTTACAATTTTTTCTATTTTTGCTATTAATTATTGATTCGTTTTCTCTACTTTACTGAAGGTAATTAATGCCTATGATGAAAGCGTTTGATTTGAGGTGACATAATTCATTTTAATAACACTTCTCTCAGGTATGTGTGCCAGACGGGCATGCCGCATGCTACGGAGGAAAATAAACCGTAGGTTTTACTATTTTTCGGATCCACAACAAGACGGACACTACAATTTGGAGCAGAAGCTCGCAAAAATCACTTCAGCGGCTACGAAACAACAAGTATATGTGGGTGATTTCAAACTAATAGCCTATAATAAGTAATATCTTTTTTGTTTTGTTTTTAAATGAGTGAATCGGATATGTTGAATGCGCAAGAAAAAGAGTTGAAATCAAGACACAAACAATTCGAAGGCTCGTGAAATTCAAGTTCTCTTTTACAGTTTTTAGATATTTTAAACAGAGCAATGAACTTAACATCAGAACGAAGAGGAGGTCTAGAAATCGAGCTTTTTTTACTTTAACTATCAAAATTGCAACAATCATTTCTCTACGACTGGCTAGAGTGGGGAGCGAAATTGTTTGGCAAAAAGGGGAAATTGATTTTGAATAGATTTTCTAAGTTCAGAGTAGATTTGATCCAAATTACTGAGCCGTGCCCACCGTGTTACAAATGTTACTATATTTTGCACATTGTCAACTGTCACAACAGTGTGAAGGGTGAAGTTCAGCTGGGGGTCCATAGCGGTAACCAGGTCAACGAAACAGTGAGCCTGCTCCAGGTTATTGACACACGGCCATAGTTCTACATCTTTAATATATAGAGGCGTTCGATGAATTTTAAGTTAAGTTAAGACCTGCTTGCTGCAGGATAGCATCGTTTGCTGAGGTATATACATATTTTTGAATATTTTATCTCAGAAGAAATATCATTTATGAACTGTGTGAACAGAATTGAGTCTTGGTGGTTACTTAGCGGTACTTCTGAACTCTTTGGGTTCGATTATGTAGGCATGCAGGGACCCATTGCAGAAATTTTCGTTGAATAGCTATTAAGCCAGGATTCTTGATTAGCAACGAGTGTCGCACTTTGTCAAAACCTTTGCTGAAGTCGTTAGCTATAATCTGAACGCGTTGACGGTATTAGAGGTGCACTCAAGTCACTTGATTTAGATTACAAACATCAGTCTCTCGTTTTATTGCTTCGTTTGCTCGCCTCAACTGCGCTGATTTTAAACCAGATACGTGTTAGTATATTTAATTTAGTAAATAAGTGTTTAAATACATGTACAGCTAATGCTGTGCTCATGTATGTGAATCGGATTGTAAAAAACATTAACCCACTTTCGGTCAAACCATAAACATTCCTTGTGCCATTAGTTAAAACTAAAAAATTAAAAAAAAAAAACATTTATATATGCTCGTGTGTATAAACAAATAAGACTAACAAATACTTGAAGCGTTCTATAACAACAATTTCAAGTACAAGAAAAACGTTAATGACGAAAAGCGAATTCTCAGAACACTTCCTATGTCATTTACCTTGTAGTTTATGACTAATCAGCGACACACTAAATTCAAATTACAATAAGTTTATGTTAAAAAATATAAAGGTTTAATAAAGGCTTTGTGCTGAAAATGTATATTACCAACCATTATAAAAATATTTTTATAAAAAAAGAAATAAACAAAGGCTGAATGGTATCATATACTAAGACGAGCTAAAGAATATCACAATGATAGCGAACGAAAAAAAAAACGAAAATAAACGTCTTCCGGGGTTGATCATGGCATAACATGACGCCACACTTGAAACTGGGCCAACCATAAACTATCAAAGCTTTGTTAGGCTGAATGTAAAAAAATATTTGGCATTAATAAACGTAATGAAGGAATTGTATACCATCATTACAATATAAATTTTATTTTACAAAATACATTGGCATATAGCAATAGAAGAAGAAGATTACAAATAAAATGCAAATAAAGAACTTTAACGCTGGCAGTCGGTGATGGCGTGCCTCTGAGTGTCTTTTGCGTGCACTTAACTCAGATCTGTAAGTCACAATTTTCGGTTTCTAGTCTCAATAACCGCGCTGGCTCAGTTTATATTTGTTGCTGGTGTTGGTTTAGTAAAAATTTCGGTTAAGGTAAACAAATCACTTATGGTTGAGTGCAAATAAGTGGAGTTGAATCACTTATTACATGCATACAAGAATATAGGAAAACCAAAAACATCGAAAACTCGTATGCCGCCTTTACTTGGGAGTGATTTCGCAAAATTAAACTGTTTCTAGCTCAGTGGTTTTCATTACAATTTTTCTACAATTAGGTGATACTTCAGACGAGTTAGAGGGCGAATGTTGACTCTGAGTTAGGGCGAATGAATACAAATAAATTCTATCATTATTAACCTTTAATTTGTTTAACGTTTATTTTGTTGTAGAAAGTGATAGTCAGTCGGATCTTGAGAATAAATCGCGGATGAGTAGGCTGTACGTACAAGAAATCTCTTATGAAGGTCCCCAAACTGTTATCGAAGCCAGGTAGCAAGCTCCATTTCGTCATGCGTTTTAATTTTCTTTATTCTAATTAACAATTGCAAAGCTGCGTTCTCTCCTTTAACTCCGTACTGTAGAGGTTAATGAAGGCACATAAAGCATTAAGTTAAATTAAATGAAATTTCCACTACTGCTTCATTTTCAGCGACAGATGCATGCGACCTTGAGCAGCAGAGATAAACTACTGTGAACAAAGGCGTAATATGACATACAAATAAAAAGTAAGCGATTAATAAAAAGACGATTTTTTGTTTTCAACACCACATATCACAATGTACTGTATTATGAGTGTATCATATGCCTTGCACCCTCATCACATTTAAATATTTAAATAATAAAGATAAAGTGCTTTTTTCACGGAAACCACACTCACTCATCACTAAAGGCAACAATAGGAAGCGCCCACTGAACATTGCAACATTTTATGTAACATTATTGTTATAAATGCGAACAAAAGACTGGCAACATAACGAAATGACTTGCTTTTTCGCAAAATTTTTCTCAGTATGAACTGAAAAAATTAAGACAAATTCCAGTTGTTGTTGGCTAGCAAATTAACTATCATTCAATCATTTGCAAATATGTTAAAGATGCTCACGTTGCCTGGCACGCAAATTCTTGGTAGAATCCCAACAAGGAATTTGAAAAATTTACTTCTCCAAGCGAGAACATGTGACGGTGTAGCTGCTGACTGCCGACTGCCTGATTGTCGTGTCTCGGCGCTCAGGCAAACATGAATAAAATCAAAGTGTTTTACAAATACGCAAAAATGTACATCAATACTTGGCTAGAAATGTTTTCAAAAATCAAAAATAGCGTAAATTATTGCAACGCACGTACATGTGCATAGATAGCTACGTGCCTGCATGTATGAATGTATGTGTGTGTGTTGAATGCTTTAAGTATCACTTAATTATTAGCATTGATTTTATCTGTTGTTGTAGTTTTCACAATACTAAATCTATTTAAGTACTGTTTGCATGTAAAACACTTGAATGCTTCTGAATTTGACTTACTTGTAACATCTGTTCGCCTCGGCAGCTGCAAATCTCTGTAAATAAAGTAGAAGAGAAGTGAAGTGATTAGTAAATATCAAGTGGTGGGCAATTGTCGATAATTATAATAATTATTTTGCATATAAACATGTGTGTATATATATTTTTATATTAGTATAATTAAATAAATATTTTGATGAGAAAAAATCTAAATTCCTAAGTCCTTGTTCTAGTAAATATGTTTATTAAAAATTTATATATGTACATCCCATCGGCCAATAATTAAATTCTTCTTAGAATACACACATAGATAAGATACAGAGAAAGAGCTAGAGCCTGCTCAACTCACACGGAAGAACTTCAGGTTCTCAGAACATTATCCCTTTTCGAAAGCAATCAATGAAAATAATAGAAATATGAGCAGGATTTTCATATCTTGGCATTATTCTGTTATTCTCTTTCCGCTATGTGTTACCTTATTCAAGGCGATGCTTAAATTGGGGGTTACAAGTTAATCTGGTCCTGGCAAGTTGTGGCCGTTCTCATTCGAAATGTTTCTGTTTCTGCCAACAGCACGGGTTTTCGGCTCTTCGAATATGTCCAGATTTGTATTGGATGAGTGCATAAGTTCGTGTCCGATTCCGCTGGATGCCGTTCGAATCGTTTGAGAGTGGCGCTCGTGAAAGAAATATATACATATTATATATACATACATATTACACTTGAAATCGGGCACGAACTTATGCACTCATCAATATTACTAAATGGGATTTGCGTGAAGTTTTAATTTTCTAATTTAAATGGAATCGAATGGAAGTTTAAGACGAATCTGCGACGGCCGATAATTCAAGCTGAGAGTGGCTTCCTCTCTTTATAAAAATAACCGTAATTATTTTCTTTTGTGCTGGACGTGAAATAGCAGATCTCATTAGATTTTTCGTAATGTTTCTTGAACTTCCGTAAACCAAAAGATTAATAACAAAGTACGCTTGAGTATCGCAAAACTTAAAAAGAAATAAATTTAAAAAAATATGAGAATCCATTTCGTAAGGCAGCAGCTGAGCGCATGAGGGCAATAATTACTCTACCGCTGATGGGGTTGAAAATAGTCACTATAATATACATATAATTTCTCAACGATAACTGTTGGCCAATCGACAACTGAAACACCGTAATCAAGAGATCATTTAAATATTAGTTGGGAAATTTAATTTCACTATTAAAGAGTTGAGCAAGGGCAACATTGCGAAATATAGATATTGCTAAGCGTTGGAGGCAGTGAGATGAATTATATGTAGAATTGAGTGTTTCACATCTGTACACACACAAACTGCATGTGCATATTCCCAAGCATGAACTATGAAAAGCTGCAGCATGTAGGTGTTGGTTTGTTGTGCAGCTGTTGCTGGCAATTAAGTTAATCAATAAAGCAGAAAAAACTATTAGGAATCACTTATGCAAATATAAGTGCTTAATGACTTGCAACAACAACAACAAAGGAACATTAACACAAATGCAGTATACTAATCATTTTAAGTATCACAAGCATCACTTTTCATTAACTAACGATTTGTAATGTATATAATTAACCAAATCACATGCTCGCACATACTAACATACTAACACGCACACACATGCAAACAAAAGAATTCTTTATTTCAGCTGATATTGTAAAAATGAATTAAAATCAAATAAAAATAAAAATAGAAATGAAATTCATTTAAATTCTTCATTTGCTTAGCGGAAGCTCATTTGAATGCTAAGCACCTCGTTTTGTTACCGTAATCACTACTTATTAGGCTTTCAAAGACTCCAACCATCAGTGTTGAGCGAGGAGCTCAGCGGATATACATACAAACAAGTGCAGAATACATAAGTAGTTTCACAATTACTCATAAACAGTTCGAGCTGACTCTTACATTAGTAGGCCGTTGGCTGTTGCTCGTTGTGAAACCCAGAACCTTGCCCTTGGCAGCAGCATTGTAAAGTTTTTGATGATGACTTTGCAAGATACACATGACGTGCATGTTCTGTGTGTGTAAATAGTGGGGTTTAAATTACAAATTAAATTTTTTTAGAAATTAGAATTCCATTTTGTATATAATTATTTGTATATTTTGGGCAGTGTGCCCTACATGATGGGAGTTTTGTTGAGTTTTGAAGTTGTTTAATATTTCATCTCATTATTTTTATTAAATAGAAATAAAAATACGTAAGGAATGAAAATGATGATGTAAAGTAATGCATATATATGAATGTTACCTAGACACAAATCTATGAATTTTCCCTCTTAAATGTTATTTTGGAAATGCCAATAGATCCTTACTTACTTATTTTACTGGCGTAAGCTCCGCTTACGCGATTATAGCCGATTTAACAACATTGCGCCTTTCGTTTCTTACTTTTGCTGCTTCGCTCCAATTGGAAATACCAAGTACAGCCAGGTCCGCCTCTACCTGGTCTTTCTAACGGAGTAGAGGTCTTCCTCTTCCTCTGATTCATTCCATTCGAACGACATGGCCCAGCCAACGTAGCCGCTGCTTCTCGATTAACTGAACTATATCATGTCACCGTATAAGTCATACAGCTCATCGTTCCATCGTCCGCGATAGTCGCCGCTGCCAATGCGCAAATGACCATAAATCGTTTGCAAAAATTTTCTCTCGAAGGCTCCCAAAAGCGACTCCTCGGCTGTCGGCATCGTTTACGCCTCTGCGTCGTTTAGTAGGACAGGTGGATGAGCGGCTTGTAGAGTAAAGTCGTACTTTTCAATTGCCTACATAGTCCAAAGTAGCACCTGTTGACTGCTTGTTTGATGACCAGGGGTATTTCGTGGTGTCCTCGTTCAGTACCAGACTCATTCGCTTCACTTCTTTATCAGGTCGATATGGTAAATATCACCCTGTCTGAATCCCCGTTAAAATTCTGCGGGGGTACCAATTTCAGACATAGCGGCATACAGGCAGCTCCTATTCGTGCTGTCAAAGGCGGCTTTAAAATCGACGAAGAGGTGGTGTGAGTCGATCGTCTTTTCATGGGTATTTTCCAAGATTTGGCGCATGGCGAATATCTGGTGAATGGTTGACTTACCAGGTCTGAAGCCACACTGATAAGGTCCAATCAGTTTGTTCACGGTGGGCTTCAGTCTTTCACACAATATGCTCGACAGGACCTTATAGGCGATACTAAGGAGGCTTATTCCACGGTAATTGGCGCAGACTGTGGGGTCCCCTTTTTCATGGATTGGGCAGAGCACACTTAAATTCCAATCGTTGGGCATGCTTTCTTCCGACCATATTCTGCAAAGTAGCTGATTCATGCACCTTGTCAGCTCTTCTCCGCCATGTTTGAATAGCTCGGCTGGTAGGTCGTCAGCTCAAGCCCCTTTGTTGTTTTTCCAGCGGGCGATTGGACTCACCATTTTTACTACTATTCAGTAGGTTTGAGAAGTGTTATCTCCATAAATTCCACATACTCTGGGCCAATGGAACCTTACTTTTTATTATTTCGAATGCAGAAGAAGGTGATTGACATGCAAACAACTCGATTTGCTAAAATCTTGATTCCAAAGATTCAAAAAATCAAAATTATAGATAAATTATTATGCCTTACGTGTATAACAGGTTTCAAGTACAGATAAATTTCTTTACATGTGTGTGACACTTGCATTCTCTGGCTTTCTCCTTTGGTTATCTATTATTGTATTATATAAAAAAAAATCGGCTAATGCAAGGTTAATTAGACATCATATGCACCCTACAGTTAATATCTTTACCACCTACAACAACAAAAACGTGATCAAAGTCACTGACGTTAGACGATGGTCAGCGCCACCGTTCATCAACAGTTCATCGAATGGCTTAATTGACTGATAGTTAAAACAAAAAAAGGAAATATATAAAAGACCCCGCCAACGACATTTCTGACGGTCGCACAAATTAAAATCATATCAGTGCGCAGTTTTCGACGATTCGCTGACGCTTTTTGCGTTTTCTTTCTGTTTTTTTCTGTTTTGCTTCACATTGGAATGCCCCTTACGTAGTTAAGTGCATGTGTGTTTGTAGGCAATATCCATATATGTATGTGTATATGTGTACATATTTGTATTGGTTTCAAATTCTTCAGAAATTTATGCGTTTGGTGTTTCGAATTTGAGATTTTTTTGTTTCATTATTTTTTCTTGTCGTTTCTGCTTTTAATATATTTAATTTTTACAACCGGTCACACAAATAGGTTGGCCTTAAAATCGCTATTGACGACAGCGACTTAAGCAGCGGCGACGACACGGTCATTGCTCATTAGATTGCGGAGTAGCAGCAGCAGCAATCTTTTCACGCGAGAGTATTTTTCCGTTTTTTAATTGTTTATATTTAGTTTTTTAATATTTAAAATTTTGATTCAAAGTTATAAGGTATATGTGTGTATATTTCAACCAAAATATTTAGTTTCGTTTATGTTATAATATCTTCTTCTTTTTTTCATATATCACAGACGGCAATATACTTTATTTCACTGCCCCATAAGCTTCCACAGCCAATTCACGAATTTCCCCTTGTTTTTTTGTTTTTTTTTTCAGATATTATTCATTTAAAAAATTATATGAATTTTTGAAAAGTAAAATTAATTTATAATAATAATAAATTGTTTGATTGTGGCTAATGTAATGGATCTCATTTCCACAGATAAATAGTGTCCTTTATGGTAGCACACAGAAATATACGAGTATAACCAATTAAAAGAAAAAAGTTCATTTAACAAACAATTGTTTAGAACTCTTCTAAAATTGTTGCCATATATATTTATGTGTCTTTAGCTCATCACTGGATCGATAATTACGCATTTATTCCCACCAACTATCAACTAATTGCCTAAACTCAAGTGGCGGAGAATGTCAACAAATGTGCCTTCACGAATTTAAAACAACAACAAATTTTACAAAAACCTTACACACATAAATATACAATAAATAGCGTAAAATTAATGTGAGGAAAAATATACAAAAAAAAAAAAATCATAAATATTTTGCTTATGAACAATCTGTGGTATTGTTGTTGTT